GTTTTATGGTACACTTTTTATGACCGATATAAAACTTGAAGCAGTCTTAGACCTTCATTAAAGCTTCATTACAACTATCATTTTTATCAGAGGCCTAAGATTCACAGATAAGAAATATACTGCTACAACAAAAAATACTCTGAATTTTTTTGTCATTATAAAAAACAAATCTATTCAGATATATGAAATGAAAACCCCTGAACACGATGAAGATGAGACGATCGACAATATGAAACTCCTGGAGGAACTACAGTTATACGATCCCTACATAAGGCACAGTGCGGTGAAGGAGCTCTTAAAAATATTGAACAAGCGGCTTTCCGATACACTTCCGAAAGATCCACGAACCCTTCTTAAAGCAACGCCGACAGTTTAACTAAATCCGTTTGGAGATGGCCAGTATTGGCATCACGGCTTTAAACCTTGTATTGAAAAAGCTTTAAGTGGATCCAATAAGCATTTCTTACATCTTGATTACAAGCGAAAATAGGTGGATCGCTTGGAATGTTGACTTTTTGACAGGTGGTCATGGTTTTTGTTTTGTTTTGATTCGCTGTACCGAATAAAACCAGCAAGCTAGTTATATAGCTTAAATATAACTTAACGCTCTCAATTTGGACTACGAAATGCTAAGATACAACCATTAGGTTTATGTTATGCTATAGAATTCCAATCTAGGAGAATATGTTATATTGAGGTATTTTTAAGGAGTAGCAAGTTATAACGAAAAAAAATGTCGCCGTATGAACAAATTTCACACAGTATGAATAATTACGCTTTAATTGATAGGCAATAAAACACTTTCATACATCTATGTATAATTAAATAATATGTGACTGGTTATTGCTCAACAGTAGTAACAGTTTTGTACTAAATAGAAAATCTTTGAATGACTCTTTAATGCATGGTGCTAATGCAGACAAATTAAAAATATCCCTATATTTTAGTATTCATATGGCGCACTAAATTTATGCTCCTATTTGGTATAATAATCACCATAAATATTGCACGGCATGCTGTGAAGCATATACAGATTGGTTTAAAATTATAATAAAGTCGTCTTATTTTCAATGTACAATAATATCAGCCATTATTACCAACTGACAAGGATCATGATTTCACATCAAACATCGAAAGAATAAAACCACAATAAAATATTTCTCAATATTAACTATCATCCAAAAACCCCAACTTAAAACCTTCAAAGTTGTCAAAATGTTTTGCGTATCATGTTTTATCAACTTCTTCAGGAGTGATTTATGCGGTTGTAATATAGTTTTATGGTAGTCATTAGAAGGCTGTTAAAACTTTCTGACCTGGAGGAGGTTTTATGTTTTCATTTTTAACAATCACGTCTAGAGTGTGATAAAACTGACATAAATCCTATGCTCCTAAAGTAGTTCGCATATCAAGTTTTAATGACTGCATTAAAACTGGGCCAATTGGCCATGACATGGCTGTATTGCGGTTCTCAGGAGATTGTTAAAGCAATGTGGTCGTCAGTGAAGGTTTTATAATTTGGTTATATCAACTGCTATAAAACTTAAATAAAACAAAAATTGTTGCTTGGGCAAGTTGCTGGAAGGAGATTCTCTTGTTCCATAGATTTTTTTTTTTAAATCTTTATTAAAGAGATTTTTAGCCTTACGCTAGTTCATCTCTATGTTCCGTAGATGCGTATAGGCGACTTTGCCTATCGATCTACCCAAACCGTTTTTGGCCCTTCATACAGCGACATGTTGAGGACAATCAGAGGTTATTAAGCTTGATCAAGTCAAACATAGAAGAGAGCCGACTGCTGTCGGACTTAGTTTCCGTGCTACAATGGGTGGTAAGAGTAGAATTCCTAAACAATCTCTTTTGAAATTAGTTGGTGGCCCTGAACAGGGCCGTTTCGGACAGGGAAAATGAACGAAGCTTAACCTCAGGTGCGTCCCTGACGCTTCAGGTAACAGTGCCACGAATGACGTTTTCCAGCATCACCTTACCTTGAGCACACTCGGGTTTTAGATCAGACCGGAGATACGCTTGACATCACCACGACGGACGGCGGACTTGGTAATACCCAGTAAGTTATCATGCAACACAACTGGCTCCTCCTTTGCCGACTTCTTTGCCTCACTTGCCACGTCCAGTCATTTTTATGCTGTTGATGTTTCTTCGGGTAAGGTTGAAACGAATGTGACAAGAAATTCCAATTAAGTTTGGCCAAGTTGATTCCGCAAGATCGTTCTTCACAGATGGATCATTAATAGAGGCGTCCGCTGGTTTTGGTATTTATAACGAATTTCATAGTGCCTCTCGAATGCTTCAAGCTCCTTGTTCCGTATATGTTGCTGAGCTGGCGGCAATACATTATACGCTAGAAACGATCGCCTCACTTGCACCAGATCATTATTTTATTTTTACGGATAGTCTCAGTTCTGTCGAGGCTATTCGATCCATGAGGCCGGTAAAGCACTCCTCGTATTTTCTCATGAAAATACGAGATCTTCTGAGTGCTTTATCTTTAAGATCTTTTGTCATCACCTTTGCATGGGTCCCATCTCATTGCTCGATTCCGGGCAATGAGAAGGCGGACTCACTTGCTAAGGTGGGCGCTATGCAAGGCGATATTTACGATCGACAAATCGCCTACAATGAATTTTTCTTCATTTATCGTCAACAGTCGCTCGCCAGCTGGCAAAATAAATGGAGTGAAGGAAGTTTGGGACGATGGCTATTCTCGATCATCCCTAAGGTGTCGAAGAGTCCTTGGTTCAAGGGGTTGGATGTGGGTCGAGACTTCATTCGTCTGATGTCTCGCCTCATGTCCAATCACTATTCGTTAAACGCTCACTTGTTTCGTGTTGGGCTGGGAGACAGCAATCTCTGTGAATGTGGACAAGGTTACCAAGACGCCGATCACATCCTTTGGTCTTGTGCTGAGCATCGTGGAGTCAGATCTGAGCTGTGCGATTCCCTTCGGGCTCGAGGTAGACAACCTAATGTTCCAGTTCGGGATATTTTGGCTAGACGTGATCTGGAGTTTATGAAACTCATATATGTTTACTTTAAGAATACTAACCTTAGATTGTAAGTTTGATTAACCTTGTGTTTAGTTTGTGTATTGTGCGTGTAGTTTTTTATTTTTAATGTTTGTCTTCAAGATTAATAGAAATAAGTTCATGTTTTAGGATTAATTAAATATTTGTATAATAAATCATATTTCAAACCTCCTTCTCCCTTTCCCCATCCAAAAAATTGTAAATCTCCACTAACCTCGAGACGACCGCGAGTAATCGGTTCAATTCCTTTAACTCTAGATTTAAGACATGAATCATGTATAATGCAAATGATAACTCGGCTCTGTAAAGTTTATTCGATTGAGCCTGTACAAATAAATTAATATAAAAAAAAAAAAGAAATTCCAATTTTTAAATTAAATTAAATTCTTCTTGTTGTTGTGCTCTTGTTCTTTCATCGTTTATGATTGGTTGAACATAGCAAAAGCATGTTATAAAAGAGAATGGAAGTTAGACCAGGACTTAGACCGATCTGCGCTTCCAGAGCTCGGCCGTTAATGGCCCTACAGGAATCCAGCGAGGCCCATCTGGTCGGTCTGTTCGCCATCCACGCCAAGCGTGTCACAATTATGCCAAAGGACATTCAGCTGGCTCTTCGTATTTGTGGTGAACGCTCTTAATTTGTCCGTCGAAATCTAACAAAACCGGCCCTTTTAAGAGCCGCTAAAAGATTCCACAAGAGAGTTGGGAAGGAAATTTCTGCTGCTTACAACCGATCACAGTGAATCCTGATCTAAAAATTGCAACCAGCAAGTGCCATAGAACCAAAAGCGGTGCGATGCTATGACGATGACAGCAGAAGGGTGAAAGCCAATTCTCTTTTTCGATTTCCTCTTTTGTGATGACCATAGCTTCCTATTTCGCACTATTTCTGCTATGCCCTTCTATCATCCACAACAATAAACGTATCAATGAATGTGTTTGCCGTCGAGTTAACGTTATCTGACCGTGCACTTCGTAGTTGCTCCTCCGTGAATGATCACAACTAATCCACTTGCACAGAGAACTACATAGATGGGTGCATGGGATAAGCTTTCCATCTTCAATGTACAAGCACATTAATTCAATCTATAGATCAATTCACAGCGCCGGCCACGTCCTCACGGTCTTTTGGGGGGAGGGAAGGATGATTAATTCGACGTCCGGTTGTTACTAGAGACCGAGAATACCTCTACATCTCCACGGCTGTCTCGGGAAAGATAGTTGTGTTAGTGAGGTAGGTTATTTTTACATCAGAATTCACTGTGGTAAGTGATGCGATCGGTTAAAGAAGAATTTGTTTTTATTTAAATCTAGTGGGGATAGAATAAGGCAAAGTGAAAAATTGCAAGGAAGGGGACAGGCCTGGGATTGAACTCCCTACCTTCTGCCCAGTAAGCAGAAACGGTAACCACTGAGCTACCGAACCTCGTCGTAATGCTACATCGACATGTTTCGTCTAGGAATGATTCTCTGATGACTTTGTTGGGGAAGCAGCATATGCATGTACGTAATTGGTGGATTTGTTAGTTAATTCGACGCTTTTGGACAATGCTGGGCATTTACCACTTTTTAAATAGTTTCTTGTTGAAAATAAACATTCGGAAGCATTGTTATCGATGCGTAGCCATATTTCTGATCGATTGGTGATAAAATTATCAAAATTGGACCAGGGGCAGCTGAGTTATTAACGTTCAAAATCTTTCACAATTTTGTTTCATGTTCCATGTTCGGTTTTCACAAAGTGTACCCCCATATAGAAATCACAGACGTAGTCCTACGTCAAAATTGTTTATGGTACACTCAACAAAATTGACGAACCGAAAAGTTGTGGATCACTTGTGCTACTACCATGGGAAGGACATCGTAGAACTAATAGTTCCTACAGCAGAGTTTTAAAACGTGTTTTCTTTCCATGCCTCATATCGCCTCACTTCTCTCTCTCGTCCTTTACAGCCCAAAACCGGAAACAGCACCCCCACGTTCCGGAGCAACGGAACTGAAAACAAATCTAGTCAATCATTGGGTGATACAACGGAACCACTTACAACGACAACCACCTCGGCTCCCCCGCTGTGGGCGAGCCAAAACTTCAACGTCAAGGTAGTATTCCTGCTGGGCCAGTCAGAGTCGGACTATCTGCACCAGAGGCGTAAGTTGCAGCTGCATTCCTCCGATCGCACAGCGACGACCGATTATTCCCAGCAACAGCAAACGGAGTCCCAGAGGAAATCGGCCGGTGTAAGTTTATTCCCCCCGGAGGGTGATGTGGATCCGGCTTTCAATGTCCGGGAAGAGGAACTGGACGAACTGCAGGCACGGATTGTGAACGAGAGTGAAGTCTATGGGGACATAATTCAGGAGAGTTTCATCGATAGTTATAACAATTTGACGCTGAAGACGATCATGATGCTGAAGTGGGTGATCAACAATTGCGACGGACGAGGTAAGAAAACGGGGTGGCGGGTGGTGATTTGTGAGAGTCGTTTTCTTTTCAGTTCGAGCGAAGCTTGAGAGTGAGATCTCCACGCAAAGGTTTGATTCCGGTCGTGCAGTGGAATATTGGTGTATGGTAATGGTGGGTTTTGCTATCTTCAGAAACTCTTCCCCGTCGTCTGCAGAAGGACAACAAAGAATATCTGCAGTTCCGATTGGACGAACGAGATTACAGCAACGACTTCGTTGCTCGAATGCACGTATACGTCTACGGGCAGGATTGGGTGCGGACGCATCAACCGTACTCCCCGGAGAATGTGGTGAACTTTACCATCAGCAAAGCGGTTAAGCCTAGCATTACTCCGGAGGTTGGACGCTACGTTGGTCCGGTGCTGAGTGGACCTGGTCGATTCATCGAATTCAACATAACGGATATGGTGCAGGAATGGTTCGAGAATCCTCGCGGAAACAAGTACGTGCTGGTGGAGACGTTCAACGCCTTTTCGGAGCAAGTCGTGGCCGATGATCCAAATGGAGGGAAATTCGTGAGATATCTTGTTCCTTTTTTTTTCTTCTCGTTGCAGCACTGGTGAGAGGTTATGTGCAACGGGTGGAGAGCTTCCGGGATATAATTTTTCACTCTTTTGATCGTTGACATTGAAATTGTGCTGACAGACGATTGATCTTTTGGGGGTAATTTTTCTATCGTTTCAGTGAAGTACATCATGAAGTGCGACGATGATACGTTCGTGAACGTCCCAAACCTGCTTCAGGTTCTACTCGGGGGCACGGTTCCAGTTTACCGGGCATCGCTACCGTTCTACGATAGAAACACAATCGATGTAATGTCCAGCAAGAACCGGCTGGCCGAGGTTAAACGGTTGCTAACAGGATTTCTGTTCTGCGAAGCCAAGCCAATTGGAGATACCAGCAGCAAGTGGTAAGTGGCTCCTTATTCCTATACTTAGCGCTGACTCAACACGCACCCGTTGATCTGTAGGTACTCTCCGAACTACATGTACAACAAAGAATTCTATCCGGATTACCTATCCGGCACGGCATATCTCATGAACCTGAACGCAGCCAAGCTGCTCTACCGTACGTCGTTGACGACACCGATCTTCCACCTGGAAGACGTCTATCTAACGGGGATCGTGGCCGACCGGGTCAAACTTCGTCGCCACCACCATCCCCTGTTCTTCTACTCCACTACCAAAGATCTCTGTTCCCTGCGGGGAATGATCTCGCAGCATCAGCTGCAACCGGGCGATCTGCGTAGTGCGTACGATTTCATCACCAATCGAACCATTGTGTGCGGGGTGCAGGATCGAAATTTCAGCATGGTTAAAATGAAACTGCAACAGCGGAAAAAGTGCCACTGACACGGAGAACGGCGGGCCGCCACCGCCGCCACTACCAGTAAGAAGAAAGGCCATAGCCGTGGTGGCGGCGGCTTGTCGCGAGGCTAAGTGCTTCCGTTTGATGGCTTTCCACATTGTCGATTTGCTTTGTAGTTGCTAGTTTCCATCCTTGCTGAATCAGTTTTCCTGCTCGGTTTTCTCGAGATATTCCTCCGTCTGAGTATAGCATAAGTAGAACGAAAATTGATGAAATTTGTATTATAGACCGTAGGTAGTACAGTTACAAATTGTGAAAACTCTTGTTGATTCAAAAAAGGAGATTATTGCAAAACGTTAATAGTGAAACATTTTTACTAGTATTGATCACTTGAAGAGATATAGTAGAGGAAGTCTTTACGTTTAGCATACTGAAACACACAAACCTTCGAATTGAGGTGTCTTAGGAAGTAAATGCAAGTAGAAAAGCCTCGAGAGCGACTGTAAAATACTTTAAATTATGAACGAAAAAGAATAATATAAAATCATTTGATTCAGCTGTGATTTGAGAATATTTTAGATAGATTTACAAACTAAAACAAAACATACTAGAAACTGATGTAAACCGACTTAGTAATAATGGATAAAAGTTAGCAAATCAATTTTACCAATTCGATTGATAGTCAGTGAAATAAAAACCTAGGAGGCATTTATTTCAAACCTCGGATACGAGCTTTTCCAATTAGATAGTCAGTCACATCCGCTTAGAGGCCATGACGGTATTTCTTTCGTCCTTGAGCAATTGGCCCATTATACCCGAGACAGCTTGCATGCCGGACGATTCGCAATGCACAATTAGTTAATATTAGTTTTTAAAACCTTAATTTATGCAGGACAGTATTTGTGTTCCCAAGGGCGTCCCTTAGCTGAGTCGGTTAAGCCACATGGGATTCAAACCCCAGTCCGGCTGGGGAAATTCCTCGACTTGCCTGGGCATAATTGGGCTTGTGCCGCACAATATACCAATGCAAAAGTGGCACAAGCTTAGAAAGCTCTCAATTATCAACTGTGGAAGTGGTCAAAGAACACTTCATTTGAGGGTAGACGTAATAATAGCTACGATTCAAGAAGTATTTTTTTATCAGAAATCGACATTAGCGCGCACACATTGTAACACAGTCAGCTTAGTTTCTAGAAAATGTTTCGGACACTCCCGTACAAACAACGCTTATGATATTAGTGGTCTCGTCTAACGTGTAGCGCCAATCCGTAGGAATGATGCATTCATTTACCATAAACTCATGAAAATCATACACGAACGCATATAGTCAACAACTGCTACCGCTGTGAAATTTAGTTTGTATATCGAGCATTAGTTCTGTTAGATGGTTTCATTTCAGGAAAATACAATTGTGATGCCTGTGTACATACACAACCAAGGAAGGCTTTGTAAGGGATCATTTACTTCGAAAATCCTTGTTATGTTGGTCAAAAAAGTGGCAGCCTGTCATTGTGCCATGTTTTCTCACTGTGTGTCCACTCCGTCCACTCTCAAGGTTGTTTTGGCTTTATTGGTCTTTTATGGAACGACGCGTGCGAAATTTTCCAATACATATTTGATTTTAGCATTGTATGTTAGGTATAGTGGGTATGTAGGAAACGAGGCACCTATCGTTTTCTAGAATTCCGTCTTCCAAATTGAATAGTTGGATTTCATACATTGGCACTCTATTTTCGATGGAGACGCTTAGGCTGTGAACCATTTGCCGAGTTAAATTTAACTCGTGGTTAAAAGTGACATTTCGAAAGTTATTTTCTATGTTTGAAAATCCCCGTGCTGTCGATCGACCGGTTTTCGAGCCAAGGTTGTCAAAATTTAACTTCTTGTCTGTCAAAAGTAACCACGCTCGGATAGCAGGGTTAATCGATAACTTTCCATCTGTCAAATTTTAACCAAGAGTTAAAATAATCCACCAAATGGTTCAGAGCCTTAGGCTGTGAACCATTTGCCGAGTTAAATTTAACTCGTGGTTAAAAGTGACATTTCGAAAGTTATTTTCTATGTTCGAAAATCCCTGTGCTGTCGATCGACCGGTTTTCGAGAAGAACTTAGCCAAGGTTGTCAAAATTTAACTTCTTGTCTGTCAGAAGTAACCACGCTCGGATAGCAGGGTTAATCGATAACTTTCCATCTGTCAAATTTTAACCAAAAGTTAAAATAATCCACGAAATGGTTCAGAGCCTTAGTATTTTGTGAAACTCTCGACTCATCAAGTGAACAATGCACGCAAAAACAGCTAAGTTTAGGTGACAAACTGCTCTGAAAAAAGTATGAAACTACCCTAGAATGTTCTCTGGTATGCATTTATGAAATGTCGCAGATCAACTAACAGAAGATTCCTAAACATTCTTGAAAGACAGCCCAAACATGCTTAACGGCAGAATGCTGAATAGGACGTCCATGGCCGTGGCAAAATGGTGACACGGAGTCACGGGGGATGAGCTGAAGGGTTCTGCGATGCTCAAGGAACGGCCATCATTCACTTTATCTTAGGCGAGCGTAAAGACCAGAAGCGTCTGTGGAGTATAATTTTAACAGAATACCAAGTGCGAGTAGTGAATCAAGGTGAAATGTAAATCACCAATTCCGCCGATTCAGGTAAATTCGAAGCCTTCCTCGAAATGGGTCGAAGAACGGCATTAATGAATGTTATCTCCTCGTCAGGACCTTTTCATTCAATCAAATCGCTATCTGGTTGGTCTAGGTGGCGTTTTAGTTGAAATGACCTAAACGTAAAGAACATCGTTCTAGGGCTGAAGGCCTAAAAGTAAAGGAGAATTTCCCTTCCCAGTTCGACAGAGGGCAGCCTTGCTGTCGTCGACCGGCTCCGTCAGAAGGAACCGCATGTGCATCGGAACCAACTCCACAAACCACTATACCAGCTAAAACCAACCCCATCCGACCGCCATCTCGCTGTAGTAATCGGTAGACTAGTCAGTGGTACCGCCATCTTTCCGACGAGACCAACCTTGTATAATCCGCCATCGCCGGAATTGTTCCGGAATCTCAGCGAGCGATAGTACCGTCATCTTGCCGACAAGATCAGCCTTTTATCGTCCGCCATCAACAGCATCGTTCCGGAACCGCAGCGAGTAGTAGTCGTAATCGTCATCGTCGTCAAAGGTATGTGCCAGAAAATCGACCACACCACACAATCCACACCATAGTTAATTTGGAGAAATACAGTGTTTTAGTTGATCCGATCTGTGTTTCAGTTAATTTGAAAGCTTGAGTGCCCTTTAGTCCACGTAGCCCCTCCAGTTTTCCCAGTAGTGCGCCGACTCTGAGACACAGTCGACAGGAGTCTCGTGTTGCTGAGTTGTTGTCGGGCAGAACTTTAGTTTCACATAGATATCCTGGAAGATCCCTGAACACGTTCGAGAGGTTTCTGAACATTAATGGAAGGTTCATAGACATCTAAAACACAATCCGGGTCCTTGAGTGATGCAATGATCTCATATGATATTATGGGGCTTTACGAAGCTATGAGAGTTCTCAAATTTAGTTGGGATATCGCGCAATACCTTGATGAGTAGGTACAACTTCATGTTTTCAATTCCAGGCACTTTGGAGTACCTCAGATATTGACGTGATGAGGTACAAAGCTCTACGGATTCGTCTAATAAATCAATGCATCGTACAAGACTTTGTTGAGCATCAAGATCGAAATTCCAAGATACTTCGCAGAGTCTGAACTAGTTTGTCAGTACAACTTTATATCCCAAATGATGTTAGAGAGCCCACTAAGCTCTATGGGTTCAAATTTTGACTTAGGACTACGTCTTTGATTTCTATATGGGGGTACACTTTGTGAAAACTGAAAATGGAACATGTAACAAAATTATGAAAGATTTTGAACGTTAATAACTCAGCTGTCCCTGGACCAATTTCAATAATTTTATCCCCAATCGATCAGAAGTATTCCTACGCATCTGCAGAATTTAAGACTTTACCATTTTTAAAAATGTCACTATTGAAAAATTCACGAATGTGCAACTGTTGCTATGATATTGGTGATCTTAATATCACTGATTGCCTGTGAAAAGCGATTTCCCTAACACAGATTTCAAAGTTCAATTTCATCCGGTCTCACCAAACGGTGTTTATTCAATCACCGCGTGATGAGTGGTGGTGTTCTCCGGTAAACAAAGAAAGGCTCCCCGCAAGCAGCTAGCGATCAAGGCTGACCTGAACCACTGATCGGATTCAGTTCAAATTATCGTGTATGGTGATGTCCGGTCGTCGGGATCAGCAGCAGCAGCAGTGCTTTCGGCACGTGGCGTTGAACATTGTTCTCCAGTACACAACGAAAAGCTGCCTGCAAGCAGCGAGCTGCAGCCCACATGAGCATCCATAGAAGAAGCCGCACCGCTATTGATCAGAATCAGTAGCTCTTCGTGAGGTGCTGTGGGGGCCATCTATGTCAAGCGCGTCATACTAAAGCTCAAATTCCTATTCCTACACAAAACAAAAGCTCCTGCTGCAGTTAACAAATAAGATTTATTATATAAGAACACATAGTCCTACGTCGCCATTGCGTACAACCCCATAGGGCTGTCCCTTGTAGTTTTTTTTTGTTGAGACATCGTACAATACTTTGTTGAATCTTTGGAAAATAAAGATTCAAACTCTAGGATGACTTGGAGAATCACATAACCTACTATAAACCTCATATCAAGTTATGAGTGTCCACTAAGCTCTACGGAATCGAATAATAAACCAGGACAGCGCACAAGACTTTGTTGAGGTTGTAGAACTTCGACTTTTAAGCTTCAGAATAATTAGATAAACCTGATACTATCCCAAAGAATGTTTTTGAGCTTCATAAACTCGATCGGTACAAAACATTGTGGAGCCTGTACAACTTAAAGATCTAACGTCCGGGATGGTTTGGAGATTTTTTAATAGCTCGTTTTTCCTACTGGGGTCTCATGCTTTGTCAAATGTTTTTTTTTCCAATATTCAGAGATGCTCTTAATTTTTTTTGTGAATTCACAAGTTCAAAAGGCTTTGGAGATCCTGGTCATCAAAGGGTTCATGAAACAACAATGAACAAGTTTTAGCGGTGATTTTTGGCAGTTGATTTCGTATAGATAGAGGTTATGTATGATTCCGTTGGACCAAATAGGTTAAACTTCCCCAGAGACTTTGAAATATTCCCAAGAAGAATTCTGAATTTTTTGGAATTTCCCATTCACGGAGTTCTACCCCGGGTTGTTGGTTAAGAAATCAATTCATTCAAAAGACGTGTGTACTTTTTGGAAAATTGGGTAATATTTTTTTGCGTGTGGAATAGTAAATATATTTAACAGATTAAACTATATACTATACTGGACTAAACTTGTTAACATATTCCGGTCTAAACTTTCATTCTGATGAGCCATCTATGTGTTTTCGAAAAACAAAAACTAAACTGCGGAATTGTAGAATCAGTTTCATGAGTTGCCCACTTATTTAGGTGTTTCGGATCTTCGGGAGAACCATCCCGTGGTCCCAATCCCGTGGTCTACTCCCGATTCATAGTGATAAACCGTATGTGAATGTTTTGACATTAAGCGGAGCTCTAGGATCATCTACATGAATCGACCACTTTTACGGATGTTTCGGATCTTACGGAGGACCATCCCGTGGACCCCAGGGTCCATTTTCTGCTCACATCTTCGAATTCATATTGATAAGACTTCCTTTAATAGTTTCGAAAAAATCGCTGAGTTCTAGAATCAGTTTAATCAATTTATCACTTTTACGTATGTTCCAGATCTTCCAGAGATACATTCTGTAAACTCCAGGGTCCATATTCCGGTCACAACTCCGAATTCATTTTGAAAAGACGTCTATGAGTGGTTTCGAAAAAAACAGCAATGCTCTAGGATTTGTTTCATGAATTGACCCCTTTTACGGTTATTCAAGATCTTCCGGAGGACTATCTGGTAGTCCCCAGAGTCCATACCCAAGTATCAATTTCGGTTTTATAAGGGTTCTGTAGACCATGATTTAGACTTGTTGCATGCTTTAAAACCTCTATAAAACTAGCAATGTTACTTGGGTATTCATGTCACATCTCCGAATTCATTCTGACAAGATGAGTGGTTTTGAAAAAAATAACTACGAGCTCTAGGATCAATTTCATGAATTGATCAATTTTACGGATGTTCCCGATCTTCCGGTGGACCATCCTGTGGTTCTCTTCGTCCATATTCCGGTTACAGCTTATAATTCATTCTGATATAACGTCTGTGGAAGGTTTCGACAAAACCGCGGAACTCTAGAATCAGTTTCAGGAATTGACCACTTTTATGGAAGTTCCAGATCTTTCAGAGGTCCATTTCGTGATCGCCAGGGTCTATATGCGTGGTTTCGAGAAAACCGATGAGCTCT